GATGGCCAAAGCAGCAATAATAGCACTGATGTCAGCAAACAAAAAAAAAGGATATGAAAAATACAAGAGTAGACTTTTTTTTCCCCAGATGTTTGACTGACAAGTCATCGGGTATTGACCAAACGGAATACCTTCTTCTTCACAAAGAATCAGGCATTATATGACCAAGACATGTTTTCTTCTTTTTGAACTTCAAGTCCACAAGCAACTCTATAAAAAAGTAGAGAAAGCCAAGAATAAAAAGGAAATCCATTAAGAAGCAAAACAATAAAGTGGATGGATTTCAATGTTGCCCATTAGGAAGTTTCTTCAAGTAAAAAAAAAAGCCAAACACAAAACCAAACATCATGCTCTGTAGTCAACATAGTCGAGAATGGTCAAGTGTAATTTGCTTAGGGAGTCTTAAATTAGCTAAACCTTTAGCTGCATGCCCCAGAGTGTTTCTCTTGACTTATTCTTTGGAACTGGATGGCAAAGAAGTTGTGTCTCACTTCCAGGGTTGCCCTAGCCCCTAGGATACTCAGTGAGTAAACATACAAAGATCAAGACTGGGAGGGGCTGGCATGACTTCTACACACTGGCTACTGATGAGGACTCATGTTTTTGCCTTGAAAATGCAATTTGCCTTCTCCTGAATGGGGAAAGTGTTGTAAAATATCAAACATTCACCTTCCCTCCTCTTTTAGCTTAGTACTTCTCTGCAATAAAAGGGTGTGACATACCAAAGCTAAGTCTCGCATCAGCCACATAGACATTTTTAAGTCTTTTGTCCACAATTCCATCAAGTCACGAGCACTCACTAGTAAGATGTTTGTAGCTAGAACATTTCAAGAGACCAAAAGGTATAAAAAATTGCACTTAACATGTGATGGACTTGGAAAAGACTCTAACGTAGTTTGTTACTAGTGCAGTCTGCCAAAGGTGTGCATTCAGGCATCATGCATTAGAGCAGCGCAGCAGTACTGAGAGCTGGTTCAGTAAGCAAGTCCTCTCTTACATCAAGGATCACAACTTAGCCTATCTGCATTCAAAACTGTAATGACTGACCTGATGGAGAGGGTTAAGGAAAAATCTTTCTTTAACTTTTCCTATTACATTATGCAGCAAAGACAAGGTGAAATACCTAGAACAATCAAGAGCTACTTTAGAAGATGGTGGTTTGAGTCAGCCAAAATAGATGAGATGTTTCACTGAGAAAGACAATAAGAAACAGCCAAATTAGATGGTACTATTTTAAGTCTATACAAGAGTGTAATGGTTCAGGGTTGAGCTATGATGAGAATGTGGCAGCATATGTTGCAATTTACCTTGAGAGCCCTTGAAAAGTGAGAGAATTCATAGTGATTTTCTATTATAAGAATATGCCAAGTAAATTTAGGAAGAAGAGTGTCCGGAAAATCTTAGACCATGAGATTGCTGGCTGGCAGAAGAAAAGACTGACCTGATGTTGGGCTGCAGAGGGATGCTAAGTAAAATAGTAGCTATTAAACCACTATGCAACAAGCCCAGTTGCATGGTACTGCAACAACATGCAGACAACCAGTCATGAAAAAGCTGAAGGAGCATCAAGTGAGATACCTGAATCATGTGAGGTGATAGGACAGAGAACAAGAGAGGCTCCAACTGGATGGATAGCAAGATCTAGCAGGCACAATACAAGGACATTCAGAAAAAGATGGTCTATGAAGAAGGATGGCATCATCCTAGTGTGTATGCGCAGAAAGAAACAAGAAAAAAGAAATCAAACAAAAGGACAAGACAAAAGTGCAGTCTGAATAACTGAATTCTGGATTACGCTAAGCACTGTAGGCATCTAAACTGTTTCTGCTGACAGAACTGCATTTTAGACCTTGGTCCTAGCTTCTGTGTGCCTCAGTATTCCAGTAATAAAGGGATAATTTCTCTTTTTCAAAGTGATATGGTAGGGTCCTCAAATACTGTGGTATAAGAAATTTCTGCAAGATGAAAAAGATATTTTAATCAGAAAAGCAGAGACCAAAATGACCTTAACAGAATGCATCTTTCCTGATGAAATTCAGTGGAGACGTAGGACTTGCCAGCACATAAATGTACACTGCACCATTTTGCTGTTAAACCAGAGCGCGTGTGAGTAACCTTATTTTAGCCTAGGTGTAGTGCAAAAATCTCGTACTAAAACTAATGAAAGTTTACTTATAGATACAAACTGAATAATAATCATGCATAAGCATTTATGACAGGAGGTGATAAATGTCTTATATCCTTGATAAAAGTAGGGAGCCTAATCTGAACTTGAAATGTTCTGGTTGGGTATATACACTCTAGGCTACAGATGTGCCTAACCGATTATAATTTTGAAAGAGTGAAGAGAGCTCCAGTACTTGGCAGGAAGACTCTTCCACAGACTAAATCTTTAGGACTGGCTTCAACATAAATGCCAGATATGAAACTACTATGAGGGGACAAGATGCACAATTTAATTTTTAATGATCACTTAGTAGAGACTCTGATCTATCTCATCTGAGAGACTTTCTAGCTACCTGCTAGCATATTGGATCATTACTATCTCAAAGAAAGAGTGAATTCCCACATCACCTGGTGTGGCAATGTAGGACAGTGAATGTGGAGCCTGCACAGGAATTGTAGGTTTTGTTCCTCCCTTTTCCACTGACCTGCTGTGCAGCTCACATAGCACAGTTCACAAGTCCTCATCTGTGCTAGTTTTGCTGTCTCTTAAGTTCTGGGGTACTTGGTGCCACCTTCCCTTTCCTTTGATAAATTCTATTAAGTAGGAGCTAAATATTACCACAGGTATTACTCACTGAGGCTATTTTTTGACGATCTCATTTTCACTGCAGGTTTCTTGTTGGTGAGCTGAATATGCCAAGTCCTAAATATGTGATGAAATGGCAGTATGAGATATATCTCACATATCAGTAAGAGAATGAAACAGAGAAATTGTATCAGCAAGGCTGTTTTGGAGCAAACAGTCCTGACTTGAAATTTTAAATCCATTCTTAAATGAACATCTTTTAAAATAGAAAGCACGAACACAAAGAATGATCTATAATCACAGTAATGTAATGTACGTAATCTGTTTGTAACGTACTGTCCTACTAATGTAACGTAATCTGTTTATGTTAAAATAATACAGATCCAGAAACACTTTCAATTGCCTACATTTATAATGGATTTCCCTTAAAGTACCCAAACATTTCTTTTCCACCAGGAACATGCTCTTCTCAGCTTTTATTCAATTTGATTTAATCCCTCTAACAATGAAGAGGACAAGGATGCTCAGCAAGTTAAATGGATGGCAGGCCTTTGTAACAGCTTGCTTGCTCTGGACTTAAAGACCACTTACATCAGATGATACTTTCAGATGTCCATTTGTAAAAACTGATATACTCCAGGGTATACGTAGGATTTAACAGGTTTTCAAGAAATAGGTTGAAAAGACCAGTGGATATCCTGTCTGATAGCGCGGCATCTTGTTTAATGGAACATTTTAAGATAGTGTTGCTTGTTTGTATTCAATGTATAATTTTCTTTCCACAATGTCACAGTTGGAAAAGGAGAATATTTTTAAGCTGCTCTAGAAATTGAAAGCATTTATGGATAGAATAGATATATTTAAATTGGCAGCATGCTACATTTATGAAAGCCAACTTTTCTATGGAGGACACAAAAATTGTCTCCTACAGATATGCCTCTATGGTGTGCTAAAGTCATAGTTGCACAAAACCAAGCGTGGTGATATTTTCTTGCAGACAAAATCAATAGCTTGCGGCTGGTGCTTCCTGAAACAGTGTACCAGGGATCTTCCTTGCTAGTGCTGTGCAAAGCCCTCATAAAGCTACGAAATACTTTGCTGCTCACATGAATCACTACTGAAATATTAGAGGTATGTGTATCTAACCGTATCTTTGCGCCTGAATCCAGCGAATTTTATTAAGAGAACGTGCGAGCGCGCGTGGGGCTGGAAATGGGAATGGCTGTGAAACTTAGGATAGCGATGCCATCAAGCAGTGCAACTCGTGCTGCAGATGACATGGGTCTTAGGCCTCCTTCCCCGGCCCCAACCTCCCCCCCAGCTTCTGTGTTATCCAAAGCCTGTGCCAAGTACCTTCAAAAAGACAGGAGGTTCATTGTCTGCCCTGGACGAGCAGGAACACCCGTTTCACAAGGAGCGGGGAGCGCTGGCTGTGCACGGCGGCGGGGTGGCCCGCCCGGGCCGCACGGTTTCCAGCAGCCTCAGGGCACCGCAAACGGCAGGAGGAGCTGCGATTCCCGCAGCAGAGCTGCGCAGGGTGCCTGCCCAAGGGCCCGCCGGTAGAAGCAGGGCGCACCTGGTGCGGAGGTAGCCCTGCGCGAGGAGAAAGCTGGGAAACCTTACTTTTACAGCCCGTATGTGACATGACAGGTCGCGGCTTTACGACGCTCCGAGATTTCTTCACGGTCTGTTAAAAATATTAACCCGCACACTGCTGGGGGGGGGGGATCAGAAAGCTCCCGCTGAGCCGTGGGGTGGCGGGGCCGGGGGCACCACCTCTCAGCACGCCCGCCGAGCCCGGCGTCAGAGCACGCACCTGGGGCAGCCCCACCGGCCCGGAGACCCTTCCCTTCCGAGACCCTTCCCTTCC